AGGAGAAGAAGGAGAAGAAGGAGAAGAAGGAGAAGAAGGAGAAGAAGGAGGAGAAGGAGGAAGAAGAAGAGAAGAAAGAGAAGAAAAAAGAGGAAGAGGAAATGCTAATCAGCTTTGAGGATGAGAGTGAGCAGATGATCATCGAAGAGAATATGTAGATTAGATAGTAATGATTAAATCCATTGTGGGAGAGCTATGCTATCTCTATATCTGATCTCTATGTCAGCTTTTCAGCTAATCTATACTGTGGAATCCAGGCTGACATGGATATGACGCATTACCGGAGTTCTAGAGGTAGGACAGGTACGACAGATAATAACTGAGGGGTTCGGGTCGATTCATCAGGTAGAATGAATACATAAATCTTTGTTAGGAGTCGCACATCTATATTATAAGATCTATTGGACGTTGATGCCATGTTCTTCGCTGCTCTCGATGCAACTTGCATCGTCTGTGGCACGGAGATTGATGGGCGGCATCGCTGGGCAAAGCATTTCCGGGCAGGTGAGCTGGAGCTTAACTCCTCCCCCCAGTTTCCTTGGGATCTTTTACCCCAATCCCTCTAACCCATCCGTCAGTCTACTGTTCCTCGACAGGTGTGAGGGTGACGGTGCCCTTGTGCCCGGCACCTTCTCATCCTGCAGTCCGTATCCCAGCCGATGCGGTGACGGATGAATGGGTATCCGAGAGGATGCCCGAGCATGACCAGACTGATCTGTACGTATTCCATGAACCCTGCTGGCGACGGCTGGTCAGCCATTTCAGTCCCACCGAGTTCGATGTGGGCTTTGTTTTTGAGGCTCTAGAATATTTGCCGCTGCCCTTGCTATGTGGCCACCATGAATCCACACCAACCGGATTATTGTTTCCTTACAAGTGGGAGGCAGTGGATGAAGGACTTGGACACCAGCCTGATTATGCCAACCTGGACGACCTCATGCGATTTGCCAAAGCACTTCCGAGCCCCTGGCGTCCGGTGATGTCTTCTGCTCCATTCGCGGCAGACCTCTTCCAGCGACTGCCGATAGAAATAATTGAAATGATTGCTGTTCTATTGCCCACGCGGGATGTACTACATCTCCGCCAGGTTACTACATCTCCGCCAGGTATCACGCGGGGTAGCTCCGATTTTCAGCAGCCCAGTCTTCTGGAAGACACGTTTCGACTTGAACGCGGAGCGCGGGTTTCTTTGGCCAGTCGTGCGAGACATTATAAACACAGCGAAGGGCAATGGATTTGATTGGAGGCATTTGTACCACTGCACTTGCCATCTCACCTGCAGCCAATGGTTTCGCTTGGAGCTGAAATCTTGGGAGGCGCTCCGGTGGCTTCGGGATACAGCCCTGGCTTTAGCCTCTGGGGCGCCCCGTCCGCTCGACTATCGCGGTGATGCCCTACATTACTACCATAATGCCATGATTGGCGATACGCACCTCGAGGTGGTAGACTGCGACTCTCGGGTGCTTCACATTGCGGTTTCTGCACATGATGATTGCGGCTCACATTATGCCCCTGGGTCTGTGTGTATCACAGGACTGGAATTCCTTTTCGAGGATGGGCCAACGGCCATCTTGGGTTACACTTCGCCCGGAGCAACGAATATACCCAGAAAGAAGTGGAGAAATTCTCAGCGGACGAAAATGGCCCATCCTAGAGTCAGAGTTATGATGGATCTGATCGACTTTAAAGGAATCATGGCGACGCATAACCTAGATGGGGTTAGTGGTTTGCTTATATTACAAAGCCTTGATGAAGAGAGAGAAGCACGCCGTAAACGGCGGAGGTGTTGTGTGGGGGAGAGGGACTACCCTCATCATGCTTATCATGGTTTACGCACTTGTTCTCTGGAAGAGGTCTCACAAGTCGTGGCGGTGTTTAACGTAAGTAAACAAGTTCCATTTTACTCACCCTTTTTTTCGTGTGTTTCTTGTTTCTCGGTGTACTAAGAATGGATCATCAGAACCACAGATTGATGGACCTTGGTGTACGGGGCCGAACAGCAAAGCGAAAACCGCAATTGTCGGAAAGACAGCGAAGGTGGGAAATCAAATATTTCAAAGAACATGGCGATCTTGCACCAGTTTTGGAGCTGAGATGACTATTCAATGCTATGGAACTTGAGACGAGCTAGCAATTTAATGGCACATACATGCTACGAAATATCAGTCCGTAGCCCCACCAGGGCCTTTGTGGCTGTTGTAGTCTTAATAACTCCCACTCACAAATGCGTCATACTACCTGCTTTAGTCTTTGCGGAGATCACCGTAGAGAACGCGTCCGTTGCTGAGATAGTTGAGTCTGAAGCCTGTGTTACTCAAGCCAGCTCGTGAGTCTACATTCACTCACTGTTTGCTCAAATGTTTGCAAGTGTTAGGATACTATAGATCTTTTCAACTCCAGCCTTCCTTCCTTCCTTTTATTCTTCCCTCCTCGTCTACCGTGTCATTACCAAGTTTGAATCATCCAAGTAGGAAAGCCGGACTCTTCTATCATACGATTCAATCAACTCTCGTCAACCATGGCACAGCAGGGACAACCGCAAACCGTGCCACCAGTGGAACCATGCTGGAGTTACCCGATATACCAAGCGTACCTGGCCCGGATTGACCCGACTGCGCAGCCCTACGGCGACGTTGTCGATCACTTCTATTTTAATTTTCTACGCCAGTATTTTGCTACATGGGAAGGCTTTGCATACGGGAGACGTCGATGCACTACCCATCCGGGACCTAGACAGCATTGGAATGTCTATTTGACCAACATGCGTGATCAACAAGCCCACCATGTCATTGCCGTCGAGGCTAGGTGGTTTCCCTCCGACACTTCGCCTGGTTGGGAGAACAACTACGACTGGACGGATGTCTGGGAGACGCTCCGGGCCCATATGCTCTCCGATTGGACCATGCGGACGACAGTGCAAACCACGTACGGCATCGTGGCAGTTGGCGACCGCGTTCGCTTTTACTACATGTCTAGGAATGATCTTGAGGGTAGACTTCGTACCTGGAATGGCCATCCTGTGGATGCCCCGGTGGCGGATGAGTCGCCCATGTTGAACATTCATAGCCTTGTTGACCAGGGAGTGATTCATCAGCTGATGCTTCGTATGCGTCAGGATGTTCTCTCTGGGTGCAATACCTACTAGGCAAGCAACGATCACCGGGATTGATGGCTCTGAACACTGGCAAGGCTAAGTGATAGTTCGTGTTGAGCTTGAACTAGGGCCTTGTTTTAGCAGGTCTAAGGCGCGGTTCTTTCTTTTGAGCCAAACCTAGGGGCTTGTATAGGAATGTCTAAAGTGCTGTTCTTGTTGAACCAGAACTTAAGGGCGTGTATCTAGCTGCCTATGAGTGGCAAAGATGGTCGCTGCGTTCAGAACACTGTTAATTCTAACCTAGGGAGTTCCCTTCGCGGCTCTCTCTGAGGGCTTCAATGTATGGAATCATAATTGGGGGGTGTCTATCTTCACGACTGCTCTAACAGTGACCGAACCCGCTATCTGCTTATCGCTCTGATACTATGCTGGTCGTTCTTCCTACATTGTGTGCACAGAGCTCTCAATACTCACAATTCTCACAATGCACTCATAATTTCCGCCTACTCCGTCGCCAGTTCCTACGGGGCAATCTCGCCCGAGATCAGCGCTCGGCTGAACTCCAGCTGTGGGGAGATCGGCAGCTGCGGACCTTTTCCACGGCGTTCATGCTTCTAATTGGATCATTGGCCTTTTTCCCGGTCCTTTGTTTTTTTCTATTCTTTTTTTTCTTTTTTTCATCATGCTTGGTGGGTGTTTGATCGAATAATTCCGTATTTTCACAACTGTAGTGGCGTTGAGATTGGCCCAGAGTGTTCCCGAGTTCGCATGTGTTTTGGAAGCATGGATATGCCTTTGATATTGCTTGGGTTGTCGTGCTTATGGTCTTGTATTCTTCTATCCTGCCGGTGATACATATTCAACGAAGCCTTGTGCGGGGTTATTTGTGTTCAGATCGCCTGCTAATAGTGATCGTCTTGGCCACTTGTGCCCGACGAGTCAGGTTTTGTCGGTGCCCAGTGAATATTACTACATGAGGACTGCTCTAACCAATATTCTTGATGCTCTGTGATCTCCATGCCTATGGCGAACGAGTCTATGCCTCTTATATATGTAACCTTGTTGTAGCACACACCAACATCTGATTACTATATTATATACACACGTAAGAAGACTCGATATATACATTCCTTGTCTCAAGGAGCCTAGACTTGAGCAGGTAATCCAGGTAGTAAATGTAAACGCCCAAAGCTTAAGGCTGAGAAATAGGGGAAGCCATCAAGAATCAATGTCTCCCTCCACCATCCAACTCAGCGATAGGATATTCCGACGGCAATTCCGCCTTCGCATCCCTTCCCGAGGCCGGCAATTCCACCTGCTCTGTCATGAACGCCCCTGTCCTCGTCACAGGCAACTCATTCAACCTCTGTACCCTATATCCCTGGTCCGGTGATTGATAAGCCTGCGTATTTGTAGATGACGCGTTCACTTTCCGTCGGCGAAGGAAAAAGAGTAAGAGGAATATAACCAGCACCGCGCCCGCTGCGACACCGACGCCAATGCCTGCTTTCGCTCCTGTCGACAGGCCTGATGAGCTGCTGGATGAGGTGGACGTGGGTGATGTTGTGGAAGAGGTAGCGGTCGTAGGCGAGTCCCCGGACGATGTTGTAGATGCCGATGTGGCTGCCGGGGTGGTGAAATCCGTCGACTGCCATCGAATAGAAATACCGTACCCGTTGATGTGTCCTGGGCTGGACAAGGAACTGGAGGTGCTGCTCGTAGATCCAGCCGTGTCGGTCCAGGTGTAGGCGAATTCAATCTCGGTGGATTTGCCGGGTTCCCAGGTGCAGACTTCGAGCTCGGTCCAGCCGGGGGTGTAGGTTGTTCTAGTGGAGTATGTTTGGATGCCGATGCTGGAGACGACAGCCAGTTGTGTCAGTTGGTACTGCAGGTGTTGAGAAAGGTGTGTAATATGGATGGAATGCTCACGTCGGACAGCACGTCGCCGCAGTCTCAGTGATAGTTCCATCGATCAAGATATTGCTGGCTGCAATGCGATATCCGGTGGGACATAGTCCCGGTGAGAAATAGCTGGAGACGTCCCAGCCCGAAGGAACACATTCAGCCGTGTGTGCTGGCCCCAGGTTCATCCATGTTTTGGAACTGCTGCTGACGAGCCAGAAATCGCTGATACATGTGCTGGGAGGGATGAATGTTGTGGTTAAAGGAATGGGGGCTGAGGCTGTAGTAGCTGCGGATGTTGTTACGCCTGCTGACATGGTGGAATGGTGGTCGAAAGGGATGCTGGGAGCATCAACAGAGGTTGCATTTGGTTGTTTGCCGTGCGAAGAGGAGTTGAGAAAAGGGGGAGTAAGCTGATCAGACAGAAAATCTCCAGACTTGGGGCATGCTGAAGACCCTTACTCGGCCTTATGCAGGATCTAAGATGGTTGTGTTTAGCGTGGACTCGGCACTCTTTGGGGGCCAAATGAAGAATGCATGAATTTCAATTGTGATTGGCTGATATAAGGTTTTGTTGATGCGCCCCGCCGGGTTTATAATCCGAGATGGTTCTTTCCTGTCAAAGTACTTGATTTTTGTTGGAAAAATTGACAACAGAGGCTTGTCCTCTTGACAAGCTTTTTCTCTGACCTGTTTCTTTCTATAGATAATACTCTTATTGCATGTTATATAATTGTCCTCTCATCACTCATAGGCGCTTATGGGGAAAGTTGAGAGCAATTTCTGAATATGATATACCCACCCTGGTCACTCAGGTCACACTTTGAAGTATTAGAGAATGTCAAACATATTTCTTGTACTCTCTTTGGTTTTATCATATGAATCTCGTGGGGCAATGGGAATTCCAATTGTTCTCCGCCTCCTCGGGATTGTTCTCCCTCGGGTTTATTAGCCCACACTAGCAGAATCTTCACCGCTCTCGTTCACAGCTGCCTGAGGCTGAAGTTTAAGCCCGAAATACTGGATTTTTATGCTTACTTATATAGACAACCAGCAATTATAAATATATCGAGGGTGATAAAGCCTCTTTTTCGGCTTTTTCTACTTCATATAGCCACGTGGGCAATCTACACGGTTTGAAAATGTAGTCCTCGCTAGGTTTCAGCACGATCATTGTGGGAGATATATATTCCCAGCAGATGTACAAGGCCATCCCATCAAGCGGACTAGATCTGACTCATTGAAATAATATAATTGAAATTACGAATTCTTCGACATAGCCTGCTTCTATTCGGCTTGAGGCAAGTTTTCTTTCCGGTGTTCTGTAGTGTTTATCTGATGAGAGTTTATTTCACTCGACACGTATTTGCCCTAAATGCGATGAGCTTCGACGCTTTTGCGTCCAGGCTCACTCTTCCACCCCACGTAAAGGAACAGGAAAGAATGTTTCTGAACTGAAACATTCAGAGACAGTAAGGTCACCAGTGGAGAGCAGGGATGAAACGCCCTGCATGATATTTGGGGCTCAGCTGCGTATCTACTATAAACACCCTAGTCAGCCAATGGCACTAGAGACATGACCAGTGCTAATGTGGCCCCAAGGCACATAGTCTAATTATGAACGACACTCAATTAATCATACTTTGTATTATTCCCTTGAACCTCAACCAGCCAGAATCAAAGATTGACAGCCCGCAACATCCATGCCCGTGGACCACCAAGCGGGAGAAAAAGTGGACCTCGCGCTGCTGATCTCCGTGCCGGCACTCACAGCATCCTAACAACTGAGGAGATGCTTTCCGTCACGAATCACTTCTACAGCCATGGTCTAGAATGTTTTGTGTATATAAAAGCTGTGCCAAGCATTGTCCGGAGAATCTTTGCCGGCCATCTACACCGTATCTTCATGGCATGATGCTTCACCGTAGTTTAGCTGAAACACCCGGAGCTACAGTGGGGATGAAGACTCCAGAATCTCCGCTAAAGTGGGACTTGGAAGATGATCATCAACTTAGTCTGCTTTTAGGTTCGATTTTTCATGTCAACACCCGCGCACATGCTGCAAAACAGTACTGCTGGTCAAGCGTGTTTATTCGAATGACCGAAGAACATCTTTTTCAAATGTGAATGTCATTCAATGGTGGGGTAGAAAACACAGACAGCCGAGTAGGATCTTGACACGGGACAAATACCCATGCATTTGAAGCTAAGTAAGGCTGATCTCACAATAGTCAGTGGATCGCATAACTCACTAAATAGTAGTCCATGCTTGGCAGGACTGGTTGTCTTGAGCCAAGAGCCCGTCTTATTTTTGTTATTATCCTGCTATACCGCGGGCACACGTTTTCGCGAAGTGACTTTTACCTTCTCACCACATTCCTTACTTGTCTCCTCTGCACCTGGAGAGATCCAATCACTACCGAAGAATTAACACGATCAAAATGGGCTGGTTCCCAGTCGGACTCGAAGAGGGTGAGAACAAATGGAAGTTCGACATCATCCCTCTGCTGGCTGTCATTGGCAGCTCAGCAATCCAAAAACACATGCAGGCCATTACAGCCTCTCCCTTCGCCATCTTCCCCCGGTTAATGCCCGCCCCTGAATCGCTTCTCGACACAGAGCGACCGACACGACCACCATCCGTCAAGGACGTCAAGATCGTCGGTGTCAAATCAGGCATAGAATTAGATGAGCTGAACTTCTTTGCGAATCTCATCCACAATGTAAATGACATGGAAGAATACGAATTCCGCGTCTACAGAATCAGCTACGCAACGCGTGATTCCGAAGAAGGACAAGATTCGAAGATCGCATCAAAGGTGGAAGAAAGTTACCGACGAGTCAACAGGCATCGGATCCCAATCAAACTTAAGACATTTTGCTGGCTCAATTTCGTCACTCTCGTCTCCATTCTCATCACGATTGGCCTCTACATCTGGGCGGGCTGCATTCATGATGGTACCGCCCTCGTCGGTCTGGCTACCATGTCTTTGTCAACCAGTGTAGCCAGTCTATCGGCCCGGTGGTACCCCCGTCTCAGTGGCCGTTCGTCACAAGCGGAAGTTCCCAGTGGCGACGTGATTATTCGCACCCGGGCAGGTGCGTTTATTCTTGTCTACGGAGATGACGACGTCATCCGCGAGTTGTACGAAGGCATGGAGGACTGCGAGTACATGTTCAAGGGGAACACCCACCATCGACTGCTAGGAACTAGCACATTACTGCTCATGGCGTCAATTATCCTCCTGAGTAACTGCGGTTCAGAGATGCAGATTGCCATCGGTGTCGCTTACATCATTCTGAATGCCCTGTACTGGCTGTTGGCTTTGTTGGTCGAGCCGCGCGATCTGTGGGATATGAGCAGATATAAGATTGAATTTGTCGAGTGTCGTCCGAGTACGCCTGACTCGAGCTACACTGAGACGTTGTGGGCCGTCATTAATATGACTGGAAGTGTGGAGTGGGTAGCAAATGGTGAATTGATTCCCCAAACGCCGGCTTGGGATCAGTGGTTACAGGAAGCGAAGGAGCATATTGGAAAGGACTGGGATCCTGTTAGAAGGAAGGATGAACTGATGAATCCTAGACTGGCTTATCGCAATGGTCGGTGGTTTGACTGAGCCAGGTGTATTTATATCAGAATTGCATTCAAGACACGATTAGACTAGATTGAAGCTCATAGATTGATTGATATATGTTCATGATACTGGTGATGTTTGCAAGTCCACTGGCATGTACCCTGTTGCCTCACTACACATATTCGGGTTCCTCAATCCACGTTGAGCCAGGAATAATGTCAGTAGTTTGGCAGTCTAACCCTGAAAGAGTTATACCGGCATTGTATGCAAAAGCTGTCTTAGGCCCACACACTGGTTCGGATGTTTTTAGAAATATAAGTAAGATGCTCAGCACCTTGTCAGGTGCACTCACCCTCAGGCAGGAATAATTATGTATTAAAAACGGTGAGATCCTGCCGGAGATAAAAACAAAGCCTTTCCCAGTACAGTAAGCGGAGTTGATGGAAGTACAATAGCAGCTTCTCTTACTAATTCCATCTAACCAAAGGGCTCCACATGAAGCCAATGTTTGGACTGCAATTCCCGGCACGTCCGCCAACGCTTCGCCTCGAAAACCACCCTCCGCGGTCTGGCCTGTGTCCTTTCCTATGCCTGGTGTCTCTTTTTTGTCGGCCTATTCTACCATTTCTACTCCACTCCACATGCATCGCCATGGACTCTATATGCTCTATTCACGCTCATTGTTGCGGGGATGCTCATCTCCCAGCTAGTGAATAATGCCTGGTGTAGTCGCAATGCAGGAAATGACAAGGAACGCAGTGCAGGGTCGGCGCTGTGCGTTATTGTGAGTAATTTTGGGGGACTTTTGGGTCAGAAGATGTTCGATGGGAGTGTAAAGGTGGGTATGGTCGCGTCGATGGGGTGTTATGTTGGGGCTGGGGTGGTAGTTGGTGCTTTTGTGGGGGTGTACTATGTTTGGTTTAGTGGGAGAAGAGGTGGTGATGGGGTTGGTAGTAGGGGTGGTGATGTGTAAAATTGGGTTATGAATGGGTATCATAGAGATGGGTATTGTTCGTCTAGTAATATACTGGGTAAATACTGTTACATGCTTATCCTAACTGAATAACCGCATATTGTGTACAATTAAGTAACTATAATAAATTGGGTTGGCTGATTGTTTACCTCACAACCCACCCCCATCTACCCGAGTCGTTCACCTCCGATGCACCAGTTGAGCACGTCATGGGAACGATAACTGAACCATATATATGACCGAGTCGCTCAGTGCCGCTTTAAAATGTATCCTGATGATGAATGTGATTTTGATATGACTAGTCTATTAGTAGGAAGTAGAATCAAAGTGCATTTTAATATTAGCCGGACTGACTGTCAGCACCCCTAACAGCGGTGACCAGCCAAGTTGGCCTCTTGGACTTTCGGCTTTGAAACCAACGTCCTGAATTACTTGAATAGCAATAAGGCATTATTTACGATCACAGGGTGTGGAATAAAAGAATAAGTGAATTGTTTTGTGTACCTCTTTCCATACAGAAGATGCAAATATATAATATATCTATATAGGTTAAAACGGGAGACATGGGCAGAGGCCAAACTCCACACCTCCAAATGGCAGAACAGTCTATCCAGACACTAGGCCGGCAGGGCCTCTAGTATCACCAACGTTGCTCGCACAAGGAAATTTCTAGTTTCCTGGGAATTTATTGTGATAGTTGACAATCGCAGCTTCGGCCTTTTCTAAACATTTCTTCCACTCCGAAGCCGAGCATGAAGGAAGATCACGGAACTCGAAAAGGGGCAGTTGCTCGGTAGGATGGTCGAGGCGATGCTCAGTCAAGTCTCCATACCCTCCGACTTGGCCATCAATCATCTCCTTATCAGCATCCTTGAGCAGATCTTTGCCATCTTTCAACCCCTGAATCCAGGCTTTGACGTTGACAGGGCAGGACTGTGAGCCGTAGCAGATGTTAATCTGCAGCTTCTCGAACTTGCCGTTGATGGTGGTCTGTCCGGGATGCCCTGAACAATACCTCTCGTCGACACTAAATGGGATATTGTTAGTAAGGGCTCCACTGAGGTAAGGTAGTTGCACCAGACTTACGCAGCATATTCATGTGCATCATCGATAGGGTTCTCATAACAAGCAATCTTGTTCACAATAGTCCACAGATCCTTCTTCTCAAGCTTGCTCTCAATGAGTTTGTACATCTTGGAAAAACTGGTTCGCGGCATGATCGACGTTAGTTCCTTAGCACTCTCACTGTTCCGGACCTGACTGCCCGCCTTGGCATAAGAAAGAAGAAGCGACAGGAATCCGCGAACATCTTCGCCAACATCCTTCGTAAGACCACCAGGTTTCTCCTCGAAGAAGAAATCGTTCACCCAGACCTTGTTTTGGATCTTGCTATTGGCGTATGTCATGAGAGGCGACGGCTTGTTAAGTTTAGCTTGCTTTATCAGTTCGTTAATGGCCCCAAGTGGCATCGGGGAGGTGATCTGACGAGACCAGGCGGAGTTCACAGGATTCGTGCCCGCCTTGACAGACCAAGGGTTCTTCTTATTGCTGGCGATTTCAACCTCCTGGCCGGTCTTCGGGTTCCATTTTTTCTGGATAAAGAGGTGGTCAGTTAGTCTCTTCATGCATGTCCGTGACAGTTGTGATGCGGTTATCATACCAGATCTTCATAGACCTCCTCGGCTGCAAGTGCAGCTCTCCCAGTTCCCAATTTAATCTTCCTTCCGTCCAAAATATACTCTGCAGGTAGATGTCCCAGCGTGCCTCCGGTTGCATCCGCTGTCAATTCCAGTCTTTACCCGACAGCTTGGCACCGTTTCCATCCTTGGCTGATTTGAATGTAACAGCTTTGCCTTTGGCATCGATACCGGCTTCCTTCACGGCCTCTTTCTCTTTCTCAGACAATTTGTGAACATCTTTGGTAAAGTAGATACTCCCGGACTCGAACTCAACGCCTATACCCGGAGAGGCTACACCCGAGCGTTCGACGAGCTGGCCGTCAATGGGCGAGGCAGTACCGAATTGAAGAGAAGAGAGTGACAAGAAAAGTAAAGCCGCGTGGCTCCAAGAGAGTGTGGGGGAATACATTGTATAATGAGAGACTGGACGATAAAAGAGTGAACAGGGAATAAAGGAAAGTCTTTGAGAGATACTCTGTTGGTGATTCCTGATAAGCAGTGTCCCTGGCTTCCTTGATATACTTTTCTCCCTTCAAGGTACACCATACCAGAAACATCAAAGCCCGAAACCTATCATGGCTCCCAAGCTATCACAGCCGAAATGCCATGGCGGCCCCAAGACTACAGAGGCTCTAAGAATACAATGGCCCCCGAAGCCATAACGGTCCCACCTCAGAACTTTGCCCAGGTCGAAATTACATAGTATCATTGAACTTGCGCATCTCATTCTCAATTAGTGAGTGCAAATTCCAGATCTAGAGATATTTGAGTGTGACGCGCAAATAGTGGTATGCGGATAGACTGTGTTATGAAGGTGAAAGATAGAATTCTAGACACTGTCGAGTATTGATAGTACAGTGTGAGACACCCGATATAAACCAATATGCTCCACAAGACCTAAGATCATTAGTGGGCCCTGAAGGACAGTCCGGTTTCGTCATGAAAATGGCCCCCAGTAGGGAATTCGTAGGCCCCCATGTAGATCCTGAAACCAGGGTGCGAAGAGCCTCCACTAGGCTCTACACAAGCATCCACATAGACCCTGAATGCCTCATTTAGAGCTTCCAGATTAAGCTCCATGCATACCTCTATGAAGAACATGAGCCCAATTTGGAATGGCCCCCAATCGCCTCACAATGGCCCCCACGTGGCCTCTGAAATTAGTAGTATAGGGAAAGTCCCTATTAATTTGTATTTTTGCTGGTCCCGAACGGAAGCGACCACCGTAGATTCACATAGACTCTGAGTTAACTGTGGAATTTGGGAGCTCGCAGTAGCAAGTGTATAATGACGTGGTAGGCGTTAGAATCATGAAGTAAGGCCTAGTGAATATCCAGGCCCACATATAGAATAAGTCATATAGAGCAAAGCCACCCGCCTGATGATCACATAAGCGCTAAAACAAACATGGAAGGAGCCCCTGACAGGCTTCATAATAGCTCCCATATCTGCCCTGAAATTAGTGCAAAAGAGGCCTTGGCTTAAGTCTGAACATGGGAAGGTGTATTAGAAGACTGAATTGTTGCAACGGTTATTGTAGGTTTATTTTAGGCCCATCCACCAATCACATGATCTTCGAGTCTAAGAAGCAAACACAGGCAAGCTAACACATGATTAATCTCTCGGCGAGTCAACCTATTCCGGACTCTGTTTATCACGCTCATTATGTACACATTTTCAGGATTTGCCCACATACCTACAGAGGTCTTAATAAGAATATACGGGGAGCTGCCTCTTCCAGATGCGCTTCATTTGGCCGCGACTTGCCATCGACTCCGCCAGGTCTTGATTGACAACACGCCTACGATCTACAAACGCCTACGCAGAAAAGTCCCCTGCGAACGATATGCAAGAGTGCTACTGGCGGACCAAGGTGGTTCACCACCTCATTATTCGTCAGTGAATATTGGGGATCTGTTACGATTGCGACGGAACTCTCGTATCGTGGAGAAAGCGATCGAGGTGTTTGATCTTGATATTACCCCGAATATTCGAAGTGAGTAGACAGATCAGGAAGCCCAATCATTGCATGGGGTATTTACTGAAAAATGTCTTACAGTCCCTCTTACGAGCATCGATGACAAGTTCTATGGAGGAAAACCACGTCCATTGCACTTGACTCCTACAGAACGTCATCGCTTCTCTCGGAGCTACTACCAAGTGTGGAGTCTTCTACTTCTAGATCAACCATCTCGCCAACAGCGATATCGGACTATGTTGCTGAAGCACCTGTACATGATATGCGAAATGGTTGACCTTGACCAGCCAATCGGGGACGAACCGGGATCTTCCCCAGCTGACGGGAAACGATGCGCACTCTCTGAGGAAGTAAGCGAGTATCTCCGTTGTGTTTACCACGAAATCCATGCAGTCGACTACATCGATTTCTCGGGGCAAAGCGTTTCCATGTGTACTCAAGGCCATGCGGCTATATGGGATCATTGCCAGCCTGATTTGAAGAAGATTGTTTGCTATCAGTGGCGAGATTCGGAGAAGAAGTTAGTCAAGGAGGAAGAGGTGTGAGAGAATACAACTGATGAGGAATGAATTTGTAGGGCCACTACCGAAAGAATGCAGCTGCTATACCGTTATTGTATGCAATAGACCCCTTAAAACATTTATTTAAAGTATCTGGGCTGGTGGAGCAAGTGGCGGGTCCTTATAAGAGAGAGTATAAAGTCCCTCCAAAAGTCAACATTTCTCCGGGCCGGAACAAGGTGAAATTAGTCCTCTGCAAGCCGTCCAAAAGCTTGCTTCAGTATGTGAACATGCTATATAAATTCGGGGTCTTACGGATAAGATACATACGACCACAGGGTGTGGAAAACAGGGCTTCCTGTCCGCTCAGCCGTACTTAAGCCACACGCCGGGAGGTTAGTAGTTGGATGGATGACTACCAGCGAATCCCTTCTATTATATATCAGTGCTCATCCAGTTTTTATGATTTATTAGGCTTAATATCTGTGCTGCTTTCCCTTTACTTTATTTATCTTTCTTTATCTGAATAGCTCATACTTCCCGCCTGAGCTCTAATAAGTTGTATCCAGATATCTCTCTATTATTCTGTACAGCTGATATGTTCTCTATCTTCTTAAATTAGGCTTATATAAGTCTATGCAAACTTGGCTATCTTAGCTGAATTATACTAATTAGTATTAGTCTAAGTTCTGCCTGAAGTCATGTGTGATGACCTCTTATACAGTTTTATCTTTTAACTTTATTTACTGATATATATTAGAATGGCTAAGATTGATTTCTGGTTTCCTGTCCATAATATCCCTTAAGTAGGAATATATTTTATTTATCAAATAAACTATTATTTCAAGTATTATTATTTAATAAAATGTTATTTTCTGATTAGTATTAGAACCAGTAATAACTTTGATTATATTTAGATTCATTGGCATGGTCCATTTTATCTGTTAAGCTATAATATTTTTCTTTATATTTAAATCCAGCTTATCTGTCTTCTTATTTATCAGATCTTTCTGTAGACTGTTTATAATTAATATTTATTTAAGTAGTAATATTAGTAGATATAGTTATATAATTAACTAGTATTATATTAGGAATTCCTTCTTTATGTCTCTTGCTACGTGACTTCTAGATAAAATAATAATATTTATATCTTTTTATATTCTTACTTCCTGCTAGTAGAGCTGTTCTAATAATATCTAATATAATATTTACTATAATTAAGAATATCATGTGGTTCTTAATATATATTAAAAAATCATGACTATCATGGTATAAAGTTTATCAGATAAATTTATTATAGTAAGAATAATTTTATATACTACTCTGTGAAAATAGGTACTGGTAGATTCTATACTATCAAGAAACTATCCTCAGCTAATCTTTTAAATAGTGATTTATTAGTCTGATAGTTCAGAATAAATAATAAGACTTTTAAGAATATCTGAGTATTATTAGTTATTATTAAGATAATATTAATTACTACCAGACTGGGTTTCAAGATTCTTTAACTGGTTAGTTAACTGGTTTACAGATATTCTTATAGCTGTTATAAAGTTTTATTTTTTAGAATAAAATATTATTTCTGTGTATAAGTATATGTAGAAATATTAAATAATAAAGTACTATATTGGTGTATACTTGCTCTTTATAAATTTATTAAAAGTATAACAAGTAAATAAGCCGGACAGGCATATATTACTGTTATTATATATTTTAAGTGATGAATATTAATATGGACACTAGCTCAGCCTCATACGGGATAAGAGATTTAGTAAGTATAAATATTATTTTAAAGTTCCAGGTTATGGCCCAGTCTGTATTCTATATTAATATATATTTTTTAAGCCTAAGAATCTGTCAGCACTCCTAAGCTAAAATCTCTGGAAGATATCTCTATCCGGGTTTTCTGCTGTTACCAGTCCTGTTTTTGTAGAAATTCAGACTCAGTTTCTTTATTATAATCAAATATTTGAAAATATTAGAGGGTTGCTAACTTTATTATATTTATTTCCTGGATTAAGTTCTAATAAACAGCAGCTCTGCAGTTAAATTAGCATGTATACTAAATTTTCTCAGATAATCTGATTAATATTAATGCTCTCAGAAATACAGAAGATAAAAATAATATTTATTTTTATAATTTAAAATACTCTGGTAATAATATTAGTATATTACAGTATAAACTCCACCGAAGAAGATAAACTGATAATATACTAGAAAATCTAATTAATCTTGATACAGTTTCTACAGTAATAAATAATATAAATAAATTTATTATTATCTTACTAGCAAGCCCAGCCTAGACTGAGCTTATGTCAGATAATAAGGAATAAATTATTTTTTTATTAATATATTACTTAGAAAAATACAGGCCGGTCTCTAAAAGTATACTATAAGTATAAGATATGCTATTATAAGATAATAGATCTGGTACTAGACTGTAGGCATACTTATTACTATAATTATTTTAATAACTTCTTCTATAACTCTGTTCTTAGGAAAGCTAAAAGAAGCTAGATATCAGTATATAAATATCTAGTAGACTGATAATACAAGCTATCTTATTCTTATTATCTGAAGATACTTTCTGGACAGTATATAGATTCTAAAGATTATGATTATTTCAAAGATTTCTATATCTTATTAGATTATCCGGAACTGGAAAGTTTATATTATTTTATTAATAACTACATAGTACAGGATATCAGATTAAAAATACTCTGATATTATTTTAATATACTCCTGCAAATCTTTATTCTCTTTATTAGTATACTATTCTTTGTCTTCACTGTTTACTATATATATATTATCAGAGAATATAATCTATAATAAACACGGAGACCACATTCTAGCCTGCGTGTATCTATATAGTTAGTAGTATAAATTAATATTAAAGCTATGTAAGTATAATATCCTTAATAATATTTTTATTCTCCACAAGAATATATAATAATATCAGAGTTACCTGAGAATATCTATATAATTTCATCCTGTTGTATATTAGCGGGGACTAGTAATATAATAGATATTATATATATTATAGATTATATTAATAAATATTACTTCTATTTTACTAGAAGAAGTATTTATAAGAGCTTTAACATGAGTAATAAGCTGCATATTATTACTGTATATGAAGTAAAACTGAAGAAAACCATTTTTTTATAAAGAAATTAACTAGATATCTGGCTGAATATAGGTTTTTTTATATTACTGACCTAGAATATATATTCTGCTGTTATTATAATAAAGAAGTAATCCTGTATATTAAGAGTCTATATAACAGGCTTTTATTATTTTAATATTCTTTAAACAGGCTTGTAAGCTAAAGCTAGTAAATGAAGAAGTATTCAAAAGCTAGACTATCTCAGAATTTAGCAGAATCTGGATTATGGAATAACTGGGATTATGTGATTTTGAATATTTATTTAAATAATAAATTATATCCAGACTTGTAAATTTAGTAATACCAGGACTTGTATCATAGTACAGGTCTAAAAGATTACTATTATCTGAATTAAATATATTTTTTATTACAGTTTTAGACGGTGGAAACTACGGCCCGAGAACAAAGATTTTATTTCTAATAATTCTAATCTAGATAATATTAATATAGATCTATATAACTTAGGCCAGATTTATAGTAAAATAAGATTCTGATAGTGCATCACTCTGATACCAGTAAATATAAACTGAACTTATATTATCAGAATAATCAAGTTAAATATAAATAGAATAATCTTATTACTTATTATACTAATACACAGAAGTATCCTGTTTATAAAAGTCTGGATAAGAATATAAATAAAAGTAAGTATCTAAGCTAATAAATCTCTTATTAGAGCAGAATGCTGTTATTCTATATAAGTGTTTATCTTTCTTAAAAGATATATATACCATGAATTACTTAGACTGGATAATAAAGTTGAAATATCATGGTTAATTATAAAATCACTTCAGAGATAGCCATTATAAGTGGTTATAAGAGACTGGAGGGACCCAAATAAAATCATGTTTAAATACTAACTTATTATAAGAATTAATAAGGGAAATCTTTAATATCTAGATATATAATCAGTAAGAAAGAAAAGAAAAGAAAATTAATGATTTTATATATTTTATTTAATGTTTACACGGACCGGCAGTTCCTGCTGGTAGAGAATAATACTAATAAATCTTCTATTATCTGAATTAATTTTACTGGTAGGACTTGTGTCAGTCTCTATCAAGAATTCTAATTTCTAAAGTCTGTATATTCCTTGACTGAAGACAAATATAGTATTTAAAGTAGGTATCTGGATTTTAGTAAAAGAACTGCTTTTATAATTATATAATATATATTTCTGACAGATACTATAAATATATTCTTCCTTAATATAATATATAAAGTATACCATGATTTCTCCAGATAAAGAAATAATTATATTATCAGCAGAAAGAGAAGTATCTGATTAAATCTTTTTAGAAGAGTTAAGTATAAGTAAGCACTGAACAGGACCAGAAGTAAGAAAATCTTAAATAATCATAGTTAGCTTAAGTGGAAGATCCCTGAATCTTCTGAGTAATTTTAATAATATGCTTTCACCTTTAATATTATAGAAGACTCTAAGTAATAAGTCTATTATTTTAGAAAGAGTATTAATCCTGTAGATTTCCTGTAGAAGTCTAGTTATAATCAGCAGTATTATTATAAGATCTAAATTATAAATAATATAAGGACTTGGCAGATCCATTTCTGCTGTTATATAGAGATTATAAACAGAAGAGACATATCTTACTTTCTTTTATCTATAGTTATGAATATGAACGCCCAGATCTTTTAGGTATATTATATAAGTATTTCTATAAAATATTAAGAACTGAGTAACCAGTATATCATGATCAGGGCTGTCATGTATTATTACTGGTAGTATTAATACTTAATCTTATATAAATAGATCTTTAATCCAGATCTATCTAAGTAGAAGAATGAAATCTTGTCGAATCTCTGCCTGCAGAAAGCACAGTAGAGTATTTTTATATAATAATAAGAAGATATCTTAGAACTGTAATATCTGAAAGATAAAACTGGATTAA